AACAGTAGGAAGGAGAAGAGAAATAGAGAAGTTGACCATCTACCTCCCACCCTACCTCTTTCCACTGCAGGCTTCCAGCCTAAAGCAGGCTTGGAGGAAGGGGTATGGGAGATGGAAGATGTGTCAGTCAATCCATTCAATTTGGTTGATTTTGATAATTATTTTGTACTGGCCATTCTGATGTCTAAATTGAAATTGTGATTCTAGGATAGGACCCTGCTCAGTTTGAGCAGAAAAGACATGAGCCCCTAGAATGGGGCAGGGAAATAAAGCCCCAGGAATTAAATTTTACAGAAACAAGGAGACAAAGATCAAGGTTGTATTTAGATAACATTCTGGACTGTTCTTAGGTAACACAAAGTTACATTTGTAACACACTTAGCAGGGAGCTGGGCACCTGGAGCCCACTTGATCAATGTCAGCCATTATTAGAATAAGAGCCTACATATGAAGAAATATAAAGAAGAGCATTTCATTTAATGCCCCAAATAGCTGTGTAAGGTAGGGCTTGCTCTTCCTCTTTCCAATCCAGCAGCATGGAGCAATGGCCACCTCTGGAGCCCTTTTGCTGTCAGTGGCATAAGTGGCCCAGCCAGCATCAATCCCCTCGCCATGCTCCCTTGTCTGGAGGCCATCAGCTTGTTGGAACACCCTTAGAAGAACTTGACTTGGGGTAAGAGTAATGATTTCAACTCTACTTAGACATCTTTTGCTGATTCATCATAGTCTAGGACGATATTATTTATAGACTAATGTAGTTTGTAGCTTGGGGGAAATATGACCTAGAAGTCTATTTAAAACATGGAAACCTTGCAGATTAAAGAACAAGATAATAGAGTTATTGCAAAGCCCATTCACCTGACCTGACTGGGAGTTAAAAATCACCTTGGCCAACAAGACGGTTCTTTTCTTTCCTCCTGAGTGAAATAGCAGGTGCAAAGACTCTGCCCATGTTCTAGATGGATGCTCTAGGGCTTTACCAAACCCAGCAGGCTGAACCAACACCACACTCATCTTTGAGGTTGTCATTTGGTGGCACCTCATAGTCTTGTGTCAGGCGAGTAATATGCGGTTTTTTAAAACATGCCTTCCTTTTTTAACAGTCCCTGAAAAAGACACTCAGAGGCCACTGTCTGAAAATGGCAAGGGCTGTTTGTGAAAGGGACCAGTGTGTAGGAAAGCCCTTTCTCGTGCTAAGTTCTTCCTTCAATACACATGTATTGAACCGCTACTGTGTGCTGGCAGGTCTCTGCCCTCAGGCCATGCACATCTAATGTAAAACGCTGAGGCCTCAGCTCTGTGTTGGGACCAAGTGCTCAGGAGCTCCACCGAGGGCTACTGAGGGTCTTAGACCTGGTGGAAGAAGGTCAGACCAAGCTCTCCTGGCCCTTCCCCTGAGTCTAGTGGCCTTGTGGCTCCTCTCTGGTCACTAGGTATGTCTTATCAGGCCTCCTGGATCTGAATTCAGACTCTGGGATCCCAGACTTGGTGGCCAGTCATGCCTCTATGACTGAGTTGTGGCCTCAATGAGCCATTGAACCCCTCTGTGCCGCAGTTAATATTTCTGTATAGTGGAGATATCACAGGCTGTTTGTCTGCGAGCTGTTGTGAGGATGAGGGCTGATGAACTATCCAACGTGCTTGGTAATAAAAGCCGCTCTTTCCTGTTGAACACCTACAGTGTGTGCAGGCCTGTGCTCAGTACTCCGGACATCCGTTCATGGACTAAATCCTCCCAACAGCAATCCTTCCTAGGAACATATGCTGACATTGTCCCCATTTCACAGATGAGAACTCTGAGGCATAGGCATTTCAATAACTTGCCCATGGCACAATGAGTGGGGGTAGAGGCAGAATTCAAATCCAGACCGCCTGCAAAAGAGCTGTGCCCATAACCACTCACTAGGTTGCCCTGACCCAGGCTGCAAGCCCCTGCTCAGTAAGGGTTGCTGATGGCGATTACATCTTTACCACTGTCATTGGGAGAGAAAACGTGCATGTTCATTGTCAGAAATTCTTCCATAAAGCACAGGGCATAGCAGAGCCTTTATTGTGGCCCCAGGGCAGGAATGAATGAGCAGGGGAGGCAGGCTTACTCATTGAGATGACGTGTGTGCAGGTCATCCAAGCTACTTTTATTATCTGGGTGGGCCACATGTATAATATGGGTGGAAACCTTTCATTCAACACACACCTACCCACACACCAAATCACACTTTTCTTGGTAGAAGATGAGGGGAATAATCTCTCCTAACTACAACACCCCTCCCTGCAGCCAGCTAATATCTCCAGGAAATCTCTGAACACTTGGTGGAAAAAGCCAGGTTCACAGACGCTGCTGCTGGCTCAGCTCAGTCCCTCTGGAGTAAACTCTTATCTGAGCTCCACTCTGGACACTCCCGACCCTCACCTTTTCCACTGTTCACCCCAGGGATGCGTACAGAGTGGCCACTGCCACTGTCTTTCCCCAGTTCACAAATGTTGGCATCCCAATCCGGGGGCTGCCCACCCTGAGGTTTAAAGAATCCACCTTTCCTCCAGAGGTAGAAATAAGACCGTAGTCACCCATGTGACCCCCCTTAAGAAAGAGTCCACATGTCATTGTATTTAAGACACCAGAGATCAAAGGCTATGCCATAAACTTGATAACAGCCTTTCAGCAATACGTCATGCAGTGTTAAATGTACCCACTGACTGTAAGATTCCAAAAACACTGAATTGTAGATTCAAGGAAATAGAGAGTGTCCATCTCAACTAGTGCATACACCCCTCAAAGGTTCCTGTTGTCCTCGAGCCACATCCAAGAGCCATGGAAAGGCAGCAAAGCCACCCATGACCTGACTTCTGCTCAAGGCTTCAGCCTCAGCTCCCACATCTCCAGCATCTCCTGACCTTGTTTCCACTACAGTTGTTGTTCCCCAGTGAGCCTGGGCGGATCATGCCTCTGTGTGGTTGTACATGCTGTTCCTACTCTGGGGGTTCCCTTCCACCCAGTGGCAGCTCCACAAACACCACCCCTGGGAAGTGCCCCCTCTGTGATGATGCTGTGGGAGAAGATTGGGCTCGATTTCCACCTGTGTGGTTCCTGGCTGGGAGGCCTCAGCACAGGAATCGCCCACCGCACCTTTAACGTGCCAGCTGTGTGAGGGGCGAGTGGCTGTGCAGTGGAAGGAGACAGCTGTGGGAAGGGCTCACACCACCTGGCACATGGTAAGAGCTTCATGGGGTTGGTTCCCTTGTGTTTTCTCAGATCCTGTTTTTACCCTTACTGAGACGGGAGTGAAACCCCTAGAGAAAATAAAATCAGCAACACCACACGCGGGCCTAGTGGAAATTCCACTTCTATGTATGTTGGGGTTTTTGCTTCCTGGTCTTTCTTTTTAATCAAGCTATGACACACATACCATCAAATTCATCCTTTTAAAGTATACAACTCAGTGGGTTTTGGTGTCTTCATGGAGTCGGGCCACCATCAGCCTTCCCTAATTCCAGGGTGTTTGCATCACCCTAGATGAAACCCCACACCTATGAGAAGTCATCCCCACTCCTCTGTCCCCAGCCCTCTCGCCCCCCAGCAGCCCTAGCCTACCCCTCCCAGCCTTCTAACGAGAGCTCCTCCTGAAACTGGAAAGCCAACATTGGCCTTGCCAGTTCCTCAAAGGGCGTTGGAAGGGCTCTGCCGGCTGATGGAACCAGAGGAGTTTTGTGAATAAAAATTATTATTAGGTACAGAAAAGGGAATCAAATCTAAGGCATCCCTTAGATGGAGATGAGGACTGGACCAGCTGCTGGCCGTGTGCCCCCGGCAGGCCACGTCCCCCCACACTCTGGGGCCCGGGGCCCTGCTGCTCTCCCCTCATGGGATCTTAGAACTTGCAAAAGTCTCCATCACCATGGACCTCAGTAGGGAGCAAGGCTTGGGAGAGCAGAAGAGGGAAGCCCTGACTCCCAGCAGGCAGCTGGGGGAGAGGTGTGATGCTGTCCCCAGGCCCTACCCGTGCTTTTGCCCCAGGATCCTGAGGGCACCTTCTCATGGGCCCCACCTGAAGCCAACAGAGCCTCTGCCCATCGTATGAAGTCTTTTCAGGCCTGAGTGTGTCTTATTTTGCCCTTGGCCATCTCCTTGTACCTTCTTGGAAATAAACATGTCAAGGACGTGGCGTTGAGGATTTGGTTCTTCCTCCTCATGATCGGAACTGCATTGTGGGCGGGATTCTCTTCTTCCAGTGGCACAGTGGGAGCTTATTTGTAAACCTAGGTAGGAAGAAAGCAGATCACGAAGAACACTACCTTGACGGGCGTCGCATTGTGTGCTCTGGGCTGCATTTAAGCTGCACTGCAGGGGATGTCACTGCTTGGAGTGAGTCAAGTGCCTCTTGAATAGTGCATGTCACAGGGATCTGTTTGCCTTTCATAGCTGGCTGGTATGTGAAAAGCCTCCTCTCCCTAAGGGGTAAGCTGTGCCCCACAGGCCCCCTCTTCCTCACTCCCATGGGGTCTGCAAGAGCTCCAGCTGCCCTCCTTGTGTCCCCACTGACAAGACAGATGGTCGAATGTCGTGGGCCTCTAGATGTCTAGTGGTGGTGCCCATGTCACCTCCATGTGCAGGTTCCATTCTCGGGGCAGCCTGGGAGGCAGCCCTGGTGGTGAAGAGAAGGAGACCCTAAGATCCCCCAGGCTCACCATGGTTCCTCAGGGAGGTGGAGACAAGCAGCTCCTGAGTGGCCTTGGCCAGCCTGAGCCACCTGCTTTTCAGAGCCACCACCCAGGTCACTATCTCACAGGGGACTCTGAGGAGTCTCTGGACTCATGCATGGAAAATGCTGTATACACAGGACTGGTGCCCAACCTGGCTCAGTTCCTTCCCTCAGCCTTTGTTCGTGGGGATCATGCTGGGCAGGAAGATGTTCTACAGGGTCGAAACCACCTGGTCCAGTGGCTCAGTCCCCTCAACAATGACCAGAGGCCACTGCCCTCAGCAGCATCTCCTTCTCCCGCAGGAGAGTACCTGGCTGTACCTGTTTGGAGTGATTGTGGTCCCTGCCGTTGTCCAGCTGCTGAGCCTGCCCTTTCTCCAGGAGAGCCTACGCTACCTGCTCTTGGAGAAGCACAACGAGGCGAGAGCTGTGAAAGGTGAGGGCCCTTCTCTTTCCTGCACAGCTCCAGCCCCTGCATAGATCAGCACTGCAAGGCATGCTGGGACCTGGGCCAGTGGGCACAGGAAGGGGTGCTGTCATTGTTCCTTTTGCAGGCACTGGGCTGGGGGTCATAGGGCACCTTCTCATTTCATCTTCCCAACAGCCTTGCTAGGAGGACAGACAGGGGACACAGAGTCACCCAGGGAGTCTGGAAAAGCCAGAACAGGCAAGATAAGATGCAGGTCCTCTCTGGGCAGCATCTCCCACTACCGCCTCTTTGGTTGTTTCCAGACACAGAGATGAAGCCATCTCAAATCTCCGAGTGGCTTAGGTGCATAGCGGCCCTCCTTCTGCTCCTTCTCCCTTCACTGACTTCCTCTGTCTTAACATTTACATGCCAGGAAAGGAAAAGATGTAAGCACAAAGTGAACACCAGATCCCACCAGGCACTGGTCTGAGTGCTTCTGCACAATGACCCATGGGACCTTGCCAGCGGTCCTTGCAGGGAGGAAGGAGTATACACTCATTTTACAGGAGAGGAAAATAAGGCTCTCAAAGGCGCTTGGGAGTTGTCTCAGGTAGCTTTCTTTAAGTGCCCTAAATGGGGAGGATGCTGAGTCAGATTCAAAGCCTGGCTTTCGGAATCAGAGACATCTCTCTACAGAGCCCTGAAAAGGCAAAATTATGTTGCCTAGAGATAGACAATGCAGAACGAACAATCACATTCTCATTCTTCTAGTTTTATCAAATGAGATGCAGTTGACAGCGACATGGTTAGTTAGGCATGTGAAGGAACCAGCACTATCTTCACATCCAGCTCTGCTGTCTGACCTTGAGCAATTTTTTTAAACCTTCTGAGCCTCAGAACCCTCGGCTATAGAAAGGAAATGACCTAAACTTCCCTCGTGGGGCCATTGTGAAGATTGAATTAATGGTGCGGATAAGGTTCGTAGTATTATCTGCTGTCCTCATTACTGAGAACTCTGCATTTTAGCTCTAAATTTCACTTATGTCCAAATCCAGGAGAAACCTTGAGAATTACATATACAATTTGTGCAACATCTTTTGAAATTCACACTACCTATTTTCTGAGTTAACAAATGGCATAATGAAATGTTAACAATTGCCTCTATTTGTCTAGCACTTCATGGATCAGATTCATTTTCTCATTTATAATATTTCTCTAAAGTGAAGTCAGAGAAGGTAATTGTTTTTACCTTCATTTTGTAGATGAAGAAACTGAGGCTTACAGAGATGAAGTCTGTTTCCCAAAGCTGTGGGTTTTCGTTTATAGAGATTTGTAGAAACTTTTGAATATATGATGGAAATGATAGTGTTTTCTTCAATGCAGTGATCATACACACAAAATTCTGCCTATGGCTTTGGTGATGGACCTGGGACTTGAGCCCTCTTTTCTCCAGAGGACCCTGGTTAATAACTGCCACCCCCAATCTTAAACCCATTAGTAACCAAAGGATTGGAACCCAAGGAAGATTTTCCTCCCACACCCCTTGTGCACAGAGAGATACCAGGAAAGGGAAGTAGTGTCTGTTGTACCAGGTGACTTCCCATGTGGCCAGTGAGGAGAAAAACTAACTAAATTTTGGTTCAGGTGGTTGTCAGATGGCAGAGTCTCTGGAGTAAAAAGAAGGTGACTAAGAGAGAGAACCAAGGGGATCTGATTCTAGAAAGCACCTGGGCTGTGCATTGTTGGAAGAGGGTGAGCCTTCCAGCTCTGTCTCTACTGGCCTGGGAGGGTAACCCGCACCCCATCTGGCTCTGCTCGGGAAAAACTCTTAAGAAATGCTTCAATTAAGTACAGTTGGAATGAACAGTGCATGCCAATGCCAGACAGTGAAGAAGGTTTTAAAGTTTTATTTCATAGCACAGTAGGGAGTAAGGGAGAAGTTACAAAACATGATAAATATTACATGTGCACTCTATAAAATGAACAAAGATACTGACCTTAAGTTGAAATAGATTATTGAAATTTTCATCTGTACCTATAAAAGTGCTAATTTTACTCCAGACATTCAGCAAGCAATGGATATTTACCATGTTGGGCATTCAGCCAGGTGACAGGGTCAGACAGTGGTATGAAATGACATTCCTGCCCCCTAGGAGTGAGGGAGGGTAAAGGTCTAGTTAAAGGAGATGGACAGAAACACCCAGTAATGGCTCATCTGTATTGAAAACTATTTCATTCTAAGCACTTGACATACATTAGCTCATTAAATCATCACAACAACCATAGAAAGTAGGTCACATTTTTATTCCCATTTTAAGACCTAAAACAAAAACAAAAACAAAAACTGAGGATGGAATAACTTGGCCAAAGACATAAAGCTAGCCAATCACAGCACTGAAGTTTGAATTCTGACCATCTGGCTCTGGAACTTATGAATGTAAACAAAATGCGCTTTATTACCCAGCACCATGCTGGGCACTGTGGGTGATACCCCTTCTCCAGTCTGTTGACAATTTGGGGAAAAGGGGCCCTGTGTTAGTCAACTATTACTGTAATAATGCTGCATTAAAAAAACACCCAAAACACATTGGCTTAAGATAATAGTATTCCTTAGTTCACAAACCTATAGGTCAACTGTGTTATTCTGTTAATCTTAGTAATCCTTCTTGGGGCCAGCTGAAGTTCACTCACATGTCTGGTGGTCAGCTGGCTGACTTAGGTTGGCCTTAGCTCTGTTCAATGTACCTCATCCCCAGCTGGCCAGCAGGGCACATTCTCATGGTAATCAGAGAGGAAATGGAAAACACGAGCAGTTTCTTTAAGTTGGAAATCTCCTAAAATCCTATTGGCCAAAGTAAGTCACATAGCTAAGCCCAAAGTCAGAGTGGAAGGGGGCTTCAAAGTTTTAGGATAGAGACATAAATGTAGGGAGGCCACGAACTTGGGCCATCAACACAATCATTTTAGACAAGAGGCCCCTTTCGGGATGTCCCTATCGCACTCCATCCCCACCCCCAGTTCATAGTGGCAGGGAATGAGTCCCATGCCCTGGGTCTTATTTATTTACGCCACTCTTGTCAGTTTAGGAGAATCCCAGCCTCCAGTGCCTAAAAATGAGGGAACACCCTAACTTCTACTCTGAGAAAGGGAAACGTATTTAATTAAGTAAAAATGAAATATTACCATAGGGAATGTAAAAGGACAACGTTCAGGAATTAGGGTCAGGGAAATTGCATTGATCAGGACTCTCTGGGATGTAAGAGGTAGAAACTGCATCCAAAGCAGTGTAAGCAAAAGGGGAACTTTTGGCTCCTGTCCCTCATGATCTGAGGCCACCAGTAATGGGCCCTCTTCCTCTTTCCAGCCAAAGTTGAAATCAATCAAGAGATGGATACACAAGTGGAGGAGGTGGGTTAAAATGATCACTTTTGGTGTGAATAAAGACTACTAGGAGATTTTGGCATTAGGTCTGATGGCCAAGAGAACCTCTTAAGATTGTGCTCCTGAACTGAACTTGCCACCTACTCATGGCCTCTCTGACAGGGCCCATCCTTGAAAGACTTAGAACATGGAACGGAGAGTGTGCTCTTCTAGCCAGATAGGTCCCAAAAAGAAAGGGAGGAACTAAGCTGTGCGGGCCATTTCTTTCCCCTAGCTTAACCAATTAGGTAAGTTCCCTCTCATCTCCTGGACAGGAGTGAGTGAGGTAAAGAATGACACACTAATGCCCTTCATGAACAAAGCAGTATCAGGAGTGAGCAATACATGTTCTTCCTAATCATAAGCAGTGAAATGGCTGGGTTTCCTTCAGGTATGGTGGGATCCAGGAGCTAAATCCAAGTCATTAAGGTACTGCCTCTCTCTCAACAAACCTTGACATTCTTAGTATTTCATTGGCTTCATTCTCAGACAGACTTTCTCTACTTGATATAAAGACAACCCTGAGCAGCTCCTACTTGGTAAGACTATCTCAGAAGGAGAGACATTCTCTCTCACACATCATACATTTCACTCTCTGAAGAAAATAATTATAATTGGTTTTTCTTGGGTTACAGCCATCCTTGAAGCAATCACTGCAATGGGAATTAGAATTCCCTGACTGGCCAGTTGCCATCCATTCTGATGATTGGGAGATGGAGGGCTATGAGATTTCATTGACATCTCTACTGAGATTATTGGGAGCACAGGAGGACAGCTTCAAGGAAAAGATGCAGCAAGAGAAAAAAGTACAGGATGGCCATCACCATGCAGAAATGACCCTTTTATCCCATCTGGATGCACCTTCCCGGGTAGTGCTATGTCCCCTGTCCTCCATGGTCTGTATTGGTCTTTGCTGTCTGAACTCCAACTGGGGATAGACTTGGCGGGGATCTCAGACCACAGCCCACAGATAGGCAATTCAGAGCAATCTTGATGTGTCTCCTTTTTTGTTGCTTTGTGTATGGGAAGGAGTGTGTTTTTATGGGATATAGCATTTGGGAGCCAATTATTGGCTGGAACCCTGGCCTAAACAGAAAAGGAAGATTATCCATTATTGGTCACCAGTGGAATTTTCATTGGCGTTTTGATTGGAGGAAGTTTCTTTCTTTTGTTTTGTTTTGTTTTTGGTAGAGAAAGGCATGTGTATCATGATTAAGTCCTGCTCCTTATGATAGAAAACTCAAAGTAATAGTGTCCTAAACAAAGTAGAAGTTATCTCTGTCACACATTTTTAAAAAATGCTCAAAGTAGATTGTCTGGGGCTGTTATGGTTCTTCCTGGTATCAGAGACCTGGCTCTATTCATCTTTGACTGCCATTCTCAGAAGGTCCTTTCATAGCCCAAAGTGGCTGCCATCGTAACTGCATTCCAGCCAGGAGGAGGAGGGTGAGAGGAAGGGACTGCCCGCCCCTTCTGCTCCAAGAATTCTTCTTGGAAGTTCACACACTTTTGCTCCTGTCTGCTTCAACTGAAGGGAATCCCATAGACTCTCCTGACAGCCAGGAGCCTGGGAAATGTCATCATTCAATGCACTGCTGCCACAAGAG